ATCGGGCACTTGAAGCCGTGGCTGGTTGGCTCCGGCTGAGCAGATTGAAACTAAACCCGGCGAAGACGGAGGTCCTGGGCCTGAGTCAGGCCGGAACAGGTTTGGGGCTTCCTCTCCCGACCTTTGATGGGGTGCCTCTGGTGCCTACGTCTGGGGTTCGGAGTTTGGGAGTGCACCTGGACTCCGCGTTAACGATGGAGGCCCAGGTGGCAGCCACTGTCAAGTCCGCCTTTTACCATCTTCGGCGGGCTCGGCAGTTGGTCCCCTACCTGGATCGAGATGATCTGGCCACAGTGATCCACGCGACGGTCACCTCGAGGTTAGACCACTGTAACGCTCTCTACATGGGGCTGCCTTTGTCGCAAATCCGGAGGCTGCAACTGGTGCAGAATGCTGCGGCCAGGCTGTTAATGGGTCTCTCTAGGAGGGACCACATTCAGCCTGTGCTGAAAGCGCTGCACTGGTTGCCAATAGCGTACCGAATTCGCTTCGAAGTGCTGGTTCTTACCTATAAAGCCCTACATGGTCTGGGTCCAGCCTACCTGAGGGATCGCCTTACCCCGTATGTTCCCCCAAGAGCACTACGGTCTGGGGCCCAAAACTTACTAACTGTACCGGGCCCCAGAGACGCAAAATTGGTCGCTACAAGGACCAGGGCCTTCTCGGTGGTGGCCCCTACCTGGTGGAATGAGCTCCCGGAGGAGATCCGGGCCCTGCGGGACCTGATGCAGTTCCGCAGGGCCTGCAAGACGGAGCTCTTCCACCAGGCCTTCAAGTAGGGGCCGCCGCCTCCCGCCCCCCCCCCTGTTATACTGCCATCACGGGGGGTGGAAGAGGCCCTAGGAAGGAAGGAAACATTAGAAACATTGGAACTTTTGAACATCTTAAACATCTTAACCACCTGAATGAAGGTTTGAAACCACCGAATGACTTTGAGAAACCTCTGGACTGGACCGTCATCTTTTGGAGTTTTTTTGGATGTGAAGATCAACGAGCACTTTAAATTTAAATTCAATTTGGTATTAGGATTGGTTTTAAATGTATATTTGCTTTTTAACTCAGAACTATGTTTTATTGTTGCAATAATTTTGCCTGTTAGCCGCCCTGAGCCCTACGGGGGAGGGCGGGGTATAAGTGTGATTAATAAATAAATAAATACAAATTATTGGAAACAGCAGAAATTGATAAACTGACTTTACAACTACAAGAAAAACAAGAAGAAATCTTTGAAAATAATTGGGCAAGAGTTTATAAATGGTTGGAAGACTATCTTAAGAAACCTTTAAAATAGGTTATAAGCTCTCAACGTGAAAACTAAAAAATGAAACATGTATACAGTACAGATTCCATTTAGACAAATGTAAGTGAAAGTAATGAGTACAGACTTCAGGCTTATTGTTTGTTGACTTTTCTTTCCTGTATATGTTATTCTCTGTCTCTTTATTCTTTCTGAAAAATAAAAATCTTTATTAAATAAAGGGGAAAAAAGAATAGGATCTGGGGGGGACCAAGGTTCAAATCCCCACTCATGCCATGGAAACTTGCTGGGTGACCTTGGGCCAGTCACAACACATAAGAACATAAGAGATGCCAATGTTGGATCAGGCCAAAGGCCCATCCAGTCCAACACTCTGTCACACAGTGGCCAAAAATACCAGGTGCCATCAGGAGGTCCACCAGTGGGGCCAGGACATTAGAAGCCCTCCCACTGTTGCCCCCCCCCCAAGCACCAAGAAGACAGCGCATCACTTGCCCCAGAGCCCCTATCTATACCTTGTGGCTAATAGCCACTGATGGACCTCTGCTCCATATGCTTATCTAATTCCCTTTTGAAGCCGTCCATGCTTGTAGCCGCCATCACTTCCTGTGGCAGTGAATTCCATGTGTTAATCACACTTGGCCTAACCTACTTTACAGGGCTGTTGTGAGAATAAAATGGAGGAGAGGAGAATGATGTAAGCTGCTCTGCATCCCAATTGGGGAGAAAGGCAGGGCATAAATGAAATAAATAAATGTGTGGAGCTAACTGCCTGTGTAGACCTCTCATTACTCAAATCCCATCACTGCTCAGAAAAAGGATGTGACACGAAGCAGGAGCCTGTAGGGGCATAAAGTTTACAGGGAGGCAAAACTGAAGATGGGCCATGAATGGGTTTTGCTCACCTAGTCTGCGCTGTTGTTGGAGGAACAGATTCATCTTCTATCTAGTAAACTGGGCTGGATACCCAGAATGATCACCAGGGCATGCCGTACTAAGCTCCATCTGCAGGAAAGGAGTCATGGCTGGTGGCGGCGCCAAGATGAACAGCATGCACTTCCAGAATGCATTAATGCAACCTACAGGCTCCTTTTAGATTTTGGGGTTTTTTTTAGTGAAAATAAAACTTCATTCTCTTCCAGCCACCTCCCACCTGCCCCAACTCCATCAATCATCCTGGAAATATAAAACAGAGGGAGGGAGAGCCAGTGTGGTGCAGTGGTTGGAGTGTTGATCTGAGAGACTCAGGTTCAAGTCTCCATTCTGCTCTAAAAGCTCACTGGATGACTTTGGGCCACACCCTGAGCCTCACCTACTTCACAGGCTGTTGTGAGGATAAAATCAGAAGAGGGGAGAATGATATTGTAAACTGCTTTGGGAGAAAAACAAGGTCTAGAATCCAAAGAGAAGGAACAAAGAAAAAGGGAATTTTTGAAAGAAATTTTTTCAGAATAGTTAAGATGACTACAAACTCATTTTTGAGTACTCATGTGAGTGAAAATAATTTTGAAAAGAGGATGAAGAAGAGTTGATTTTATACCCCACCCTTCAACTACCTGAATCACCTTCCGTTCCTCTCCCCACAACAGACACCCTGTGAGGTAGGTGGGGCTGAGAGAGCTCTGAGAGAACTGCTCTTGAGAGAACAGCTCTCAGAGAACTGTGACTGACCCAAGGTCATCTAGCTGGCTGCATGTGGAGGAGGGTGGAATCAAACCCGGTTCTCCAGATTAGAGTCCACTGCTCTTAACCACGACACCAAACTGGCTCTCATGTAGGATGGCATGAGATGGCATCATGGGGGAAAGATCCCATAAGAAGGCAAATAAAAGGTGTTGGATATTGTAACTCTGCATGCAAGAGGATCTGGGACAGAAAGGGTTAAGAGAATTCTCTCTCACTCAGGTGCACCTGGCATTTGGCCCCACCCCCTCATCAGTTAGATGTTGAGCCTCTTTGGCCCTTGCTTGCCTTCTGTTGTCATCTTATATAGGACCTCTCTTCCTTTCTCTCTTACCTGGGCTTAGAGCAATGCTCCCTCTATGCTGTGGAGTCTTGCGAGCAAAAATTCTACTTTGTGAGCTCCTGGCATTAAAGTTGTGAGCGAGCGATTTGGCTACTGCATAAATTCGTTTGATCTGGAGCCCTCCTTCCTGAGCTAAGACAAACAATGTGTGAGCCAGAAGCTAAAAAACTGTGAGCTAGCTCACACTAACTCAGCTTAGAGGGAACACTGGCTTGGAGCTGTAGCAAGTCAACCTTTTTGAAGTTAATCTGTTCACAATTAGTTATATGTACCTACGTGAATATGTCATGTAAGATGTACTTCCATTTTTGTAAGTAAAATTTCTTTCTCTTGTTACCACTGGAGTCGGATCATCTTTGTAATTTGTCTGAACAGCATTTCCCCTTAACTGGGAAACATGGAGGATCGGGGATACTGCATAAAGCTTCTGTGCTTCCAAGGCAAATGATATATTTTTTTTACATTTAACCCAATAAAAGGGGGTGTAGGAAAGCAGTGCAGAAGAATTCACTATTCTCCTGCCTGGAAATTGGGAACTGAAATATTTATACGTAATGAGAGCCCGAGATGGAATCTGTTTACTGCTCACTGACGCAGTCGGTTTAACCTTCAGAAGGGGGAGAAACTGATAACAGAGAGCTTACACACACATACACACACACACATTCCAAAAGGATGCTAGAATGCTTGACGCACAGAGAAGGAGGGAGAGAGAGGAGGGGGAGGGAAATGGGGGAAAACTGAGCTTATAAATAAACGCTGGGAAGCCGAGAGGTTTCAGACAGCTTCCTGCAGACTTGTGTCCTGTCGTCTTTGCATCATTTGAACCCTGCACACCCACCCAACAAGCAACAAGTAACAAGGGGGCTTTAAATTTCTTTTGTTTTCCAAATCTCATGTTTTCTGATCCTGCCGCATTAACATTTTTGCAGATTTGAGACTAGCAAGACTGGGGTTGCTCAGCTGACTTGAAGTCTCATGTTGAGCTATGATTTACTTTTTACCATTGACAGCCACATTAGTGAAAGTGTTCAGTACACGCAAACTGGATTATTGCTTATGGTTGACAGTGCAGAACAAATTGCCAATTCCATTTTTAATGTTGCACACCCCTGGTTTTAAGAAACATGTTCTGTAAGTGTTTACGATAAGAATGAATGAATGAATAATATGAAACATGGACTCTCAGTTTCCCACCTGAATGATGGTATAGCAAATACGCCCGGCCTCTTTGCTGAACACACAGTCTTTCAGGGACTGGTCCACAATTACATTGGCCACTTTCTCCAGGTCCACACTGCTGGGGTCTACACAAAATGATAAACACTATTAATAGTGACTGGGAAAAATAACACCGACATATTTTTGAACATCTAAAATAGTGTGGTTAATGTGTCCTTTATTATAGAATTCCGTAATATTTTCTGGCTTCTTAGTTTATGGACCCTCCATGGACTGCTCCAACAAACCTTTCCTCATCACAGTCTTTCTGCAAGGAAGACCATTCATTCTTCCATTTCAAAGAGGGGAGAAATCTGAGGCCGAGAGATGAATGACATGCGAAGGCTACTCCATGACTGACCTGAGCTGTATCTACAACACAGGTTTAATTCTGTTACAAACCGGTTGAAGTGCCATGGCTCCCATCAAAGAAAATTCGAAAGCGATAGTCCTACAAAGTGGTCTGGAATCCGAACAAAGTGTGTTTGGAATCATCATGAAAACAGAATTCCCAGGGTTGTTTTTTTCTTTTTTTGAGGGGAAGGGGGAAAATGGTAAGTGTTAGAGGTGTCAGACTCATTTGTTACGAGGACTGGATCTGACGTAAGTGTCATTTTGTTGGGCCGGGCCACGCGTGCCATAAAATGTAATGCCAGGTACCGGAGATATAAACTTTATAAAGGACACAGGCAAACCCAATTAAGCAATTAATTCCTAGCAGTGAAAATAATTGATTTTCTGGGGAACCCATAAAAGCCTGGCTCCCCCAGACCCCCACCCCCACCCCACCCCAGTTCTCATGCCTCCTGCATTTCCCACGGAAGCAGCAGGGCTCAGGGGAGGGCCTGACAGAGAGGCTGTTTCCAAACCCTCCAGGGGGCGCTTTTTGTCCTCCTGCAACCCCCTTTTCCTCATAGGATGAGAACAGCACCAGTTGCTCAGAGGCTGGATAAGCACCCTGGACAGGCTGGTTCCAGCCCGTGGACCGTATATGTTTAACACCCCTGTAACTAGTTTTCAAACTAAAATGCATAATGGTAATAGGCCTCTAAAAGTTTCCAATTCAGCAGTTTTCAAATTCAATCATGTTGATTTCTGCAGGGGGAAATGACAAGGAGAAAGACAGAGGTGCCAACCTTTGAGGGCTGTTTTCAGTATCTGCTGAATCTCTACATCAAATGAGTGTATTTTATAGTCTTCTTTGCCCGTGTCTCCCATCTCTCGCTCTGCTTCGGTGGCGTGAGATCAGGAAAGCAGCAGAGAGTGGCAAACTGTGGAGCGAAAAGAGGTCAGACACAGATTAGTCAGACAAGAAAGGAGTTTGAACTAGATTTCAGACACTCTGGAGCAGGAGGGAGGGAGGGAGAGGGATATTTTTATTTTGCATTAAAAACATCCAGCCTTACCTACCCGCCCTGTTCAATTCCCGGCCCAAATGCTTATTGCCCAGCTTCTAAACAATGAATCGACAAATAGGCAAACACATTGCTCACTCATCAGAATTCACTGGCTACGACATGTGCTTATGCTGCAGGCAGACAACTGCCGGGTGCTGAAACAAGACATCATTCTGGGGGCAGGGTGGGGAATCAATCTGGGTTCCAATCAAATGGACAAGCTCAAGAGGAAAAACCCCACTGGGTTCCCAATTAGCGCCTTCCAATTCAAGAGGCCTTGACCTCTCTCTTCAAGCTTCCACTCCTCTCCACCTTTCAGCCTCCAGTTTTTATTATTATTTATTACATTTCTACCCCGCCCTCCCCATGGGCCCTTCTCGTTATCCACAATCAAGTTCACCTGCTACTGTCCCCATTCCTGTATTATTAATTCTGTGTTTTCTAAAATGCCTGAAAAGGCATCCTCCTCTCCATTGACCAAAACACTTCTCCTCTAGCAGATTCCTTAAGAACCTCCCACCATCTTCAGTAAAGCTGTTTCTCAGGCATTACATCTACATCTCCACTACTGCCTGACTTACCCTCATCCTCACAACAATCCCTGACCACCACCCCAACTTCAATAATGCAGCATGTAAATGATGTAAACGACACAGCCTAATGGCACCATTTTGAGTATAGAAGGGCATGCGTATATTAGTAGAGGTTGGTAAGAAGACAATTCAAACAGCTGCTCTTGCATCTTTCAGTGTTAAAACCCCAAAAGGCATTTTTGAAAAGTACTTGATAAGGATATGTTATCTATCATTTTTGTGCTTTACAATAGCTATGATGGTGTCATAAATACAATGCAAACAGGCTTCTTTTTAAAGTGTTTGGCATGGGTTGTTTCCAAGGATGTGCCTGTAGCTGGCTTTTACAAACACACACACACAAATCCTGCTCACACAAATAGTGTACTCATCAGAACAACTAATACAAGTCTGCCCCTTCTTCGTGAACTTTGAAAGTCTTGTTTCAGACTTCTAGTTCACAGAAAAAGATCCAGTACATGGTTACACTGTGATAAGCTCACTCATATTAACAAGAGTTCTGTTCGGGCTTTCCAATAGTTAGCTTGCCACTGTATTGTCAGAGTAGCCTATTGCTGCAGACACAAAACTGGCCAAAGATATAGGTGCTCCTGATGTTCAATGACAAGATAACGTGAAAACCTGAGTGGCAACTGCCTCCACTAACTGAAAAGAGAAACATACATAACAACCACAGTGGGTTCTGAACTGCCCTTTGGATCAATCTTGTTCCTGTGCACACTAGAGTAGTCGTGCACCTGTGTGCATACTGAATGACATCCACTGTGTGAAGAAGGTAACTGTTATCAAGGTTTTAGAGGCAATGAAAACAATGACTTCTGCATGTGGTTATTCTCACCGTGCGCAGAGGTGATTATATAGTTCCTCTAGCATGTACATCAACTAGATTTTCACTTGTATTTCACTCTGGTCCAAGTGTGGGGTGATCAGAAGCAGGTCAGCAGCTTCTGTCCTGTTTAATGATGGACCGACAGTATGACTCAGTATAAGCCAGTTTCTTAACAGACCCCAACACAGGCCTTCAGACAACTGCCCTTACCCTTGGAGTGGGTTTGGCTTTACCATTCTTGTTACATGTGGCAGATTCAGTATGTTTATACTACTACTAGCCAAAAATCCTGTAGGTACAGTAGGGCACTCATGCCTCGTGTACACCCCTCACAAAACATATAAGGTGTCTCCATATTCACAAACCCTCGATGTTCCCAATCACCTTTTCTGAGAGAGGGCTGCCAAAGTTCAGTGGACCTGTGCATGTTCCATGTACATACAAGGCGAGGAGTGCATAGTTTAGATAACCCAGTGTGTCTCCCACTGTCAGCTGACACAGATGCAAACAGGCCTGTGGGTGGGAAGGGGCCTAGTGTGGCCACAACACGCCAAAGACTGGTTGTTTGAATGTGCTGCCACATCTCCAGATCTCAGTCCGCCGCACGTGGGAAAAATGAGTTTGTTTTAAATCCAGGGAAAGCCAAGTCAAGTCAGCACAGAAACGGCTCCACCCACTTCAGAGGCGCAAGTTTGCTTCTGAAACTGTTTAGGGCAGCCCTACGAAAGGACCAGAAGTGTCTTCGTCCCCCCCCCCCCCCCCCCGCCCACCACA